ATACAATTCATAAGTGCTTTTTTTGGAGTCCTTCAATAGTCCTAGCTTTACTCCTTGTCATAATTGTTCTAGCAACAGAGGGAGTCTCATGATTAACTGCTTTAGGAATTGCTAGCTTTGGTGAATTATGTTTAGGCATTGTAATCTCAAAGGGTTGAAGCTCTGAATTAATCCAAATAACTGGTTCTTTTTCTCCTTCCACTAGTACAAAATCGGGCAAATAAATCGCCTCATTTGCATCGAAGTCGCAAAAACCGATTCTAATTGTAAATAATTTTCGCCAACCGGTTGTTATTTGAATCGGTTATTATAATAACCGATGCAAATAACCAATTACATCGGTTATTTTCTAAAAACCGATGCAAAAGTTTTAACCCAAATATTTTAAAAAAGGTACAAGAGTCTTTTGCATCGGTTCTACGTATTAACCGATGCAAAAAAAAGCCACCACGTGCCTCTGCGTACTCTTTACGCATTTATATTCAACTTAAGCCACAAATCTAAGTATTCGACTCCACCGGCCGATTCCGATCTGCAGCTTGAGCCCCTCAATGTCTACTACAACGATCTGCAGCTTGAGCGTCTCAATGTCCCTCGCGCCGTCGTCATGGATCTAGAGCCTGGCACCATGGATTCCATCAGATCCAGCCCCTACGGCCAGATCCTTCCGCCATGACAACTTTGTGTTCGGCAAGTCGTCCGGCGCTGGAAACAATTGGGCCAAGGGACACTACACCGAGGGCGCTGAACTCATCGACTCTGTCCTGGACGTCGTCCGCAAGGAGGCCGAGAACTCTGATTGCCTCCAAGGTGCGCGAATATACATAAACTCGTTTTTGTTTGTGTTTGATGGAGTATTTTTGCTTAAGAGTTCCTAGATCTGATGTGCCTGGAAGCGATTGCAGCGGAATTGATGGTTTAATTTTTTTGGTTTGTGTTTCTAGGGGTTCAAGTGTGTCATTCGCTAGGTGGTGGAACCGGGTCTGGCATGATGACGCTGTTGATATCGAAGATAAGGGAGGAGTACCCTGACCGGATGATGTTAACTTTCTCCGTTTTTCCGTCGCCAAAGGTGTTCGACACGGTGGTGGAGCCCTACAATGCGACGCTCTCTGTAACTCTATATTATTGTTATTCTTTTTCAATTTTGAATTGTAATTCTTCTTCAATTTTTTTTTTTGAATTTGAGAAATGTTTTTTTCTTTTGTTCGTTGGAAGCATGGATCTTTGAATCTAATCTGCTTTGAGAATTTTTTTGAAATGCGTATCTAGCTACTTTCAATCTACTTTAAATTAGAGAAATGCTTTTTCCTCTTGTTGCTGCATATTTATTCCGACGTAATGCAGATTATTTTAATAAGGGAGCAGTTGCATCGGTTCTTTCTTAACCACCGATGCAATTGATAGTAATTGCATCGGTTGTTACCTAATAACTGATGCAATTGCTTCTTTTATTAATAAAAAAAATCTGCGCACCCAACCTTTTGCATCAGTTATTTGGTAATAACCGATGCAAATGCAGAAGCTTTTGCATCGGTTATAACAACCGATGCAAAAAGTTATCTGAGCATTTGCATCGCTGGCTTTTGCATCAGTTAGAAACCGATTTAAAAGGGTCAAAATAACCGATTTAAAAAGTCTTTTTTGTAGTAGTGTTCTGTGTGATAACCTGCATCCTCAATGTAGTTCTCAGTGTCTCTGGTTGTTTCAATATCCTCAAGCTCAATTGCTTGAGCCTGATTCAAAAACTGTCATCTAAGGATATGAGAGGAGGTTTAAAGCTTGGTGTTGTTGTCTTTGAAATGGAATTAGAGTCCCCAATCCTTGATGATGTGTTGAGTTGATTGGAATTTCCTTTCTCATTATTCTGCAGAAATAAGTTAGTGGCAAAATTTCTGGCTGCTGAGAATGATGGAAAGTGATCCTGAACCTTGAAGATGGA